CTTTTATTAGCTTTGAGTAAGGTCGACCACGATCTTACTTGACTCACTGTATCTCTGACATTAAGAAGAATACTGGTTCTTCTACTGTCATAACTGATCATCGTATTAATTTTGATCACAATTTCAAATGGAACGAAGTGAAAATTTTAGACTGCGAATCTTCGTATAATAAGAGATTGGTACCTGAAATGATTCACATTAGAAGACAGAAACAAGATCTTAATAAATAAAATGATACTGAATCTTTATCTGAAACTTATTCACAGATCATTCAATCTTTTTCTCCTTCTTAGCTGCATTCTTTTTCTACTCATTTCTCTTCTCCCCATTTTCTTTTTTCTCTACTTTATTTTCTCCCTCTTATGCTCCCTTCCTTTTTATCATTTCAACCTTCTTGTCTTTATATTTTGTACTTCACATTGTCTCTGAGTATCTTAGAGAGATGATTACATCCAATCCTATCGCATTGCCTAATAAGAGATAACATATTACTTTGACACACAATAAAAGGTATTTATTCGTGACTAAAGGAATTTATTTGTGACTAAATTAAATGTATATAATGTATAACGGTACATTACACATTCTCTATCCGCATTAATGACTCTTATGTACATTTCTCATAATATTAGATTATTTTTTGCCTTTTTATTTTTATTTTATTACTTGCGACTCATTCTGTACCTTTCTTATTATTTTTGATTTCTTATTCCTGTGGCAATTTTACATTACATTTTGTACTTTCTAACAGAAACATGTTCGTCCTTAATTTACATACACAAGCCAAAGGAATACCTTGTTGTCGATTACAACTTCCTTATAACTTTCATTTTATATTGGAGCGAGATTTATATTTGATATTGCGATCGAGAGCGAATTTTAATTTTTATATATTTTATCTATATATAATAATATTTCCATTATTTTTGTTCACATTGAAAATGATCCAACAGGAATCGAAACGTTTGTTTTGTTTTATTTGTTACCGATCAAATTAAAGTTTATATTTTAACTTGATGACATGTTTTATTTATTAACTGTTCAAAAAATTCTTTTATTTTTATGATTGTTTTAGGCTCGTAGCCCTTTGTCTTTCTGTTTGTTTAATTTAGTGAGCCTTATTACTATTATAGTTTAAAATAAAAAGAATAAATAAAATAAAATTAAAAAAATAAAATAAAATAATATTAATATAATAAAATATAATATATTGGGAGTACAAATTAGTTCGGTCCGTTTTTCCAAAAAATGACTCCGGCTGTGTAAATGGTTCATAGTGACAGCTGATTTTGGCGTTTTCAGAGATTAGACATCTGCTAATAATATTCAGTTTATATCGCTTTGAGTTTCATACAAAAACAGTACGTAAAAAAGCCGTTTCTGCACGATTGAGAGCTATGGGAATAATTCAAAAACAAGGAAATTGGGTGCCTTATGAACTGAAACCGAAAACGTTGAAAGGCGATTTTTGGCGACTTGCGAACAGCTGATTCAAAGACAACAAAGAAAAGGTTTTTTGCATCGGATTGTGACTGAAGATGAGAAGTGGATATTCTACGACAACCCCAAGAAGAAAAAATACTACGCTAAGCCCGGTCAATCGTTGCCATCGACTTCAACAT